CTCGTGGCCCAAAAGTAAGGCCGAATTTGGATTCAGAGCACCCCTATTACTAATACATATAAACCAAAAAAAATTTCAAGTCGATATCTCGATAAATAAAAAAGTTGCATTTTTTGACTTTTTCCTACGTCCCGGCATAGAAAAATTGGATTCCTCGCACCCGATTTAGTATAAGAACGATATTTCTTTCGATTCTGAGAGATTGACCGAAACCCGATACTTTTGATGGTAACTTAACCACATCCAAGTTTATTAATATAACTGAAATCTAACCTCACATAAGAAATGACGATGCAACAAAACGTTCAAAGTTGGGCATTTTTAGAATGAAGGTAGGCCATAAATAAAACGCATTTCTTAATAATATAAGAAGTCTTTATTTTTTGTCGGTCTCGTCTGTCGTTTTGGTCGCGTCGAAGTCTGGTCGGGTATTGGTGGCGATGGGGGCGAAGCTGGCGGTGCGGAAAGGTCGGGTGTTGGTGGCGGTTGGGGCGATGGGGAAGATGAGGAAGAGGAAGAAGAAACTGGGGTTGGAAGTCGAGGAATGTCGAGGAATTGCAGGAGGGAGTCTTGGGCCAAACCGTACAGTCCGTCGTCGTATACCGTTGTCTGTACGGCGTCGAAGGTCAGTTTGAACTGCCCTCGACGTCGCAGTCGCTGGAATGCGGCGACGGACTGTTCGGAGTACTGTTGGGGTCCGCGCAGCATCTCTTCCATCAACCCACGAAGCACTGCTACGCTCGGCCCACCTTTCGAATTCGGCAGCAACTCTATGTCGAGCCCGACGTGGAAGGCGACATAACAAAAGGCAGCCAGAGGGGACGCTACGTACATATCCATCTTCAGCCTTTCGAAGTGGTGACGGATGACGTCTTCAAGTTTTCGAGCTTGCTGAAGACAGACATAGCCACGCCAGTATCCTCTCCGCACTGCCTCGAAGTCTACGTCCTCCACGCGGTGGTAGGAGCGCAGCAGGTGCTGAAGTTTATTTAACTTCAGGGGTTGGAAGAAAATATCCTGTATTTATTCGTATTTAGTTTTTGTTAATTTATTAATTTCTTAAGTACTTACAGGAAGTTCCATTATAAAAATAAAGTGTACTTGTATAGGGTTACTTTACTTATGAGTAGCAGTAGGGTAAAAAAAAATGTAGTGGCAATAGTTTTGTTGTTGTTGACATCTCTCTCACTGTCATTACTGTTCAAGAGAGAAGCCAACTTCTCTTATGAGTGAGTACGAGCTATATGAAACGCTACCGGAGAACAAGGACGCCTGTTAGAAAAGCGTACCCCGGATCTCGAATTAAAAAATTGCCGACGAGACTTACATCCCCGAAATCCTCAAATTGATGACTTGCAACGTATACTAATCCGTAGGTTACCTATAATTGGATGAATAGCAGGTGTGGGAACTTTATCGGTCAGCCCTACCCTTAGTTATAAGGGAAAATGTACACTGAAAATTCGATTCCACTCCGGCAAAATCTACGCAACTTTTTCAACTTTGACGCTTCACCTTACTTCGAGGATGTCATCTAGGCATCCGGCAAAAAGGCATTCTTATGTAGAATTTTCCGGCCTTTCCGATGAGCCGTCGCAAAAAATTCTACGACATTTAGGAAAGGCGCTAGAGCCCTATTTTGTGGTCAAAACATGAAACCCGGAATCGAGTTTTCAGTGCCCTTTCTTTTACTCGAAAAATTCTGAAAAAATTACATGTTACTCGTTGAATTATTTCGGGAAAAAGTAGCAGGGTGAGTTTTCCAAAAAGAAGCGCATTTGGGCTCTATCCTAAAAAATCGTAAAAAAAAGGCGATTTTGTCAAGCTCTCGGAAATGAACGAAATGACGTTCTTATACAAAATAGGGCGCGAGGAATTCAAATAAAGCATTATTTCTTACCTGGGAGACGTTTTTTAGCAGTCATAGGGAATAAAAAGGGCGAATTTCTTCATTATTTGAGGTTACCGTCAAGATAACCTTCAAAAATTCAAATTAGCGGGCGATAAAGGAAGTACATCGATTGCAAGGGTTACATCGAATACCGCTAGATCGAAAGTTTACGTAGACTTAAAAACAGGGTTATGTTTTTTATTTTTAAAGTTTATTTGCAAAATTTAGAGAAGGTGAAAGAAAAAGAAACAGATGAAGAGAATGAAAACAGAAGTGAAAATGAAAACAGAAGTGTAATGAATGGTTAGTTGAATGGTTAGTGGAGGCTGCGGAATAGGTGTTCAATGGTAACGAAGCAAAAGTGTTGTTGATTAATTTGTTTGAAGAGTTTGACGAAAGCTTTTTTTTTAAGGTATTTTTGAATGATGGGGGCAATGAAATCAGGGGAAACAGCAGGGAAGAGGACATTGGCGATGCGGAGTGATAAATGTTTACTGCAACCTACCTTCGTGAAATGAGAATGAGACATGCGTGATCGAAATTTAAGAGAATGTGCAAGTGCGTAGATAGGAGAAATGTGGAGAAGAGTGCCATTATATAAATCATCAAATTGAACTTTTTGTAGTTGAAGACGTAAATTTTCTATAGACTCCTTCGTGGGATGGGAACGGTACTTCATTGCAAAGTAGATCTTCAACAAGCACTTTCGCTTCTTCAAGCAACTTTTGTCCCATCCTTTTTCTTGCAAGAACTTTGATATTTTCTTCAACTTGTCGATCTCGTTGAACAAATTGGCAAATGTAAAATGCATACTGAAATGTAATTTATTGTAACATCTTATTTATAACATTGATGAAAATTGTACCTAATTATTTTAAAACAATCTAGGTAATAGATTAACAAAATTCTATACTTAAATGACTTATTTTTAGAATATAAAAAAAATGCAAGTATAATGCAAGCAGATATATTCGTTTAGACTTTTTTCTGTTACAGTGACTTTCTTTACCTCGCAAGTTACCAATAAATTTTCGTACTTTTTCTTTTTTTGATTCACTTTTCTTTGATATCCTATCACCTCCCCTTTTCTCTTTCGGAACCTCTCCTTTTTCCAGCACCTTTGCAAGGGTCCGTGAAGTGAGCTGGCCATGAAAAGCACAAACAACGGATATAGGTTTAATCGTTTGTGCTTCGTTTGTGCTCGTTTGTGCCGTATAACAAAAGTCAGCAAAACCAACCATACAAAAATTATGGGCAATTCAAAATGGTCAGCTGACTTCACGCACGAAATTAAAGCACAAACGATGGGTTTAATTGCAATCGTTTGTGCTTCGTTTGTGCTCGTTTGTGCCGTATAAAGTAAGTCAGCAAAACCAACCATACAAAAATTATGGGCAATTCAAAATGGTCAGCTGACTTCACGCACGAAATTAAAGCACAAACGACGGGTTTAATTGCAATCGTTTGTGCTCGTTTGTACCGTATAACAAATGTCAGCAAAACCAACCATTCGAAAATTATGGGCAATTCAAAATGGTCAGCTGACTTCACGCACGAAAATGAAAGCGCAAACGGGGGCTTCAGACTCAATTGTTTGAGTTTAGTTCTTGCCGGTATGTCCGATAGAATAAGTCTTTAAGAGAACCAGTAATACCTACACAATTATAGATATAATGCATGCACAAAATTGCAGAACACCTAACATAAGATGCACGAATTCAAACAGCTGTAGATTTAACCATAGTGTAAAGACTTAATTATTTAACGTATCTAAGTAATTGTACATAATATGTAACTGTATGTAAAGTTTCATTCCCTATGTTATGTATCGAGTTCGGACTTTCGCTAGATTATTCCCTATGCCTCTTAGAAGTGTAATAATTCACTATAAGCTTTAGAACAAAATGTACCCAAAATTATTCTTTACACATGAATTTGGAGTTGTAAAAGCTTTCAAAGGCATTATCTTGATGCTGAAAGAGTACCTACATCACGTGCACGTGTAGAAACACGATTGTTTTTGTAGGTAAATTGATTGTGAAAACAGGTCTTTGAAACACTAGTGCGGCAATAGTATATTAAAGTACAAGTGTCATTTGACGAAGATTGTCGCACTAGGTAGTTTGCCGCATAAGCCGCGTAGCGGCGAATGCGGCAAAAGCCGAGTGCGACAAGTAGACAAATGACACGTGTGCTTTATACTATTTTTTCTATTTCGACTTTTATTTTAAATAATAAATTATACAAATTATAAATATTGCCATTAGGCGTTGTTAGGTAATTTTAAACTATCATTCAGTGTATGTTGGTAATAGACACAGTTCATTTATTTTCACGTTGGCTAACCTGATTTCTGTATTTTCAAACTTCAAACTTTTAATTATTTGGTCATAATTCCATTTTGCGGCAGTTATGATGAATACGGATGACAAACACGTCTCTTGTACCCCATCAGAGATCCAAGAGATTGCCAATGAAGCGACGTTAAATTTACTGCCTGTAAAATCGAAAGTAAAGTACGAGGAGTACACAATTTTTGAAAACTGGCTGGCCGAGAAGGGAGTTCAAAAAGTAAGCAAGAATGTACTGCTGGCATTTACTACGCTAAGTAAAAATAAAAAAAGTTCTACCCCTTGGAGTATATATTCAAAATAAATCGGAATTAATACAATCGGTCAAGTTCCTCGTACGTGATTTACACTTTACAGGTTATGTTTAGTTTTGATTTGACGGATACCGTTGACGGCAAAAAAGCGAGGGGTACCAATCCAACAAAATAAAAAAAATAATACGTTTCTATTTCTTTCAGCATCATTTCTGTCTAGAAACGCACGCAAACTGGGCCAATCAAGTACGGTTTCGGTATTGTTTCCACATCGAAATAGAAAAAAATATTTTCTGCACGCATTTTCTACACGCTAATAAACATATGCGAAGTAACTCTTTGTAATTGTATTGCTTTATTCACAGGTTCGTTATATAAGACACACAATGGTAGAATTTTCTTTGCCTTCTGCTACAGAAAACGTTCTTGGGACATGATTCTTGGAATCAGGAATCGTTAGGTATCAATAAAATTGAATCTTGTTCTGTGAAATCCGTTAAGCCTGCTACACACATGCAAGCAAGTCGTACAATTTGGCTTGTCAAGCTAAGTTGACTGAAAAGTCGGTTGTGGTTTTGAGCTTCCACGCGCACAGACTTAATTCGCGACTTATGGAACAACTTTAGTAGGTAGGTGTCTATCTAGTTAGTTTGAACAATGGCTTCGGATGATATACTTATTGCCACAGCAGTTGCACTGTACGTGAAATCAAAATCAAAAAAACGCTCACGCTGGACTAAGCATTGGTTAACAAAAAGAGGCAAATATTCTCATACCAACTTATTAGATGAATTGAGACTAGAACCTCGCGATTGGTTAAACTACCTTAGAATGGATACCGGTACTTATGAGGAATTACTGTGTAGTGTTGCTCCATTAATTAGAAAGAAAGACACTGTAATGAGAGCTGCAATTACTCCTCACGAAAGATTAACTGCAACGCTGCGATTTCTAGCAACAGGTCGAACTTTCGAAGACTTGAAGTTTTCCGTAATTATATCACCCCAAGCATTGTCGCAGATAATCCCCGAAACATGCAAAGCAATAATAACCGTTCTAAAAGATAAATACATGAAGGTAAGAAACCACGTAAGAAATATTTTATAATTATTACATAGGAATCAAACACACATTGTTATGGTGCGACATTGCTAAAATAGTTTGCCAGTGCCTCCGAGATTGGCGCCTGGTGTTGGCAGTGATCCGGATATATGCTCGCTTGACTAACTCTATTTTGTGTATGGTGCGTATTTTGGGCTGGGGCTAAAGGAGCAACATAATACCCTTCAGGTGCAGGTAACTCAGCAGGTTGAGACACAATGCGAGAGTTTCGCGTTAGGGTTCCACACTGGGCTTCAAAGATACCATCGTTAATAATTTTTGTAAGATAAATTGCTTGTTGTTTCGGCACCTCCCTGAGTTGCTCAGCAACATGGTGTGCAAAGTTATCAAATTCCCTAATTGGATTTGGTGCTTGCAACTTTTGAGCTACAATATCCAGCACGGCGTCTGCCTTCTTCATTCTTTTTCCTCCATTAGAAGATGGTGCCCTAGATCCTGATCTAGAACGGTGAGCCACTACTGTCGTAGATGATGGAGTTCTTGATCTATCCACAGTAGGGGATAGTGGGTCACTTTCATAATCGGAACGTTGCGTTTCATTTGTCTCTTCATTCGACTGTTGCGTTTCCGCTTCCGGACCAAGTGATTGTGTGTTTTGTTCCTTAAAAAGTATACATTCATTAATTTTTTACTTAATTTCAGCTACCTAAGACAGAAAACGATTGGAAAAAAATAGCAAAAGAATTTAATTCCGAATGGCAGTTTCCCACTTGCATCGGCGCAGTAGATGGGAAACATATCCATATCGTTGCACCAAAAGGAAGTGGCTCCTACTATTTTAATTATAAGAAACGGAACAGTATTGTACTGATGGCAATTAGCAACGCCAACTATGAGTTCATTATGTGTGACATCGGCACTAATGGAAGAGTTTCGGATGGTGGAGTGATACGAAACACTACATTTTATGAACTACTTGTGGCAAATAAATTAAAAATTCCGAAAGTTGGTAACGGTGCTTTGCCGTCTTAGACCATACAGTACATGGACTGCTAATTGTAACGAAAATACGGTCAAGGACATCGCCTGGGTATGTGAGTTTCAGGGTAAACGAGTTTGTCCGATTAGATACGATTTGAGACTGTCAACCTATAAATTAACAAACGTCAATTAATTAATCGTCTAGATATGCCAAAAAAGCAAACCTATCCTTATTTGTGGACGTATTGAAGATAATCAAGAGTATTTAAAGCTTCCCGTACTACGCAGTATAAAAGCTACTCTTTACGCGATCCGAGTGGTGTTCATACGACTTTAGTTTACCCTGAGATTCACATACCCACGACTACAGTGCCCTCTATCCCTGACCACCCATTTTGTATTGAAAGCATAGGGCTAATAGCAGTCCATGTACTATATGGTCTAAGTTTGCCGTACGTGTTTGTTGCTGATGAAGCGTTTACTCTTCGCCCGGATATGCTAAAGCCTTTCAGTCAAAAACAGTTGAATTACGAGCGTAGAATTTTTAACTACAGGTTAAGTAGGGCCAGAAGAATTATAGAAAACGTTTTCGGAATATTGGTAGCCCGGTTTAGAATTTTCCATACTGACATTAACTTAAAATTAGAAACAACAGAGATTGTTACTTTGTGCTGTTGCATTCTCCACAATTTTTTATGCATCAAGAGTTCAAATCATTATATTCCACCAGAAAGTACCGACCAAGAAGACATTGGCAATGCGACCGTTACACCGGGATTGGCATCTCATGGGGTTTTCGATGAATTACAAAGAACACCAACCAATATTTCCGCAAATGCAAAACAAACGAGACAGCAGTATTTAGAGTATTTCAATGGTGTTGGTGCTGTAGAATGGCAAGACCGTATGATAGTACAACGCGAATAAAACAGATTTCGAAATAATATAAATGTTTATTTACTTACCTCCTGCACATCATCACCCTCATCATCAGAAATTGTACTTCTTGAAGGTTTAGGTTCTTCCTGTTCCAACAAAAACGTAAGTAATTCATAATACCACAAAGTTGGTATATATAATTCATCTGTGCCGACCCCAGATCTCTCAGATGCCAAAACCTTGCGATACTCCTTCCGAAAACACGTCCTCAACGAATTAATTTTCTTCACGGCCCTTTCTTTGGTTGCATTTTTTTCCACTTCTTCAAGTTTTTTTACTAATTTTGCATACGCAGTATTCTTCTTCTGTTTATTACTGTAGTCCTTACTTTTTATTTGCCACAGGCACGGGTTTTCCCGGTACATCTCGATAAATTCCGTTAGGAAATCTCGGGATAGACTTCTTAGATCGGCCATGTTGTTGCAGTGAACGCTCTGTTTTACTCAAGTTCGCCGATTCTGCCGTGTTCGCATACACACGTCTCGACTTGCAGTACGATTTAACTGTACGCAATCGGTTTTGTCCGATTTCACGCATGCCCAACTTCTAGCCCAACTCAAGCTCCGACTTGCTCTACACACACACTTGCAAGTTGTACGATTTGGTCTGTTCAAGCCAAGTTGTACGACTTGCTTGCATGTGTGTAGCAGGCTTTACAGTCATTTTACAACGTTCGCTCCGACGCGACGGCAAGCTCCAGCCACTCCAAGGACGAGAGCAACCTGTAATTAAATTATGCTTATTTATGATTTAAAAATACAATAAGAAATTCACAAACCTTCATCATTACAAATGTTTCATCAGGCGCTTCTCTCAAAAACTTAGCGATTTGTTCTCTTATGAAAACGCTCCTTTCCGAAACGCTGCTTAGACTTTTGGGGTAGCAATTCATGCGAAACCGCATTAGCCATTTCCGCAACGTCCGGCGGGGTGCACATACCTTCTTCATCTTCAGTTTCGTCAAAATCTATCTTAACACTTCTTCACTACGCCACAAATTGTTTGACTTAAATTTACGATTTTTCAAACAATTATGTTTTGTCATGGCAACCGGCTTACTGGATCATTTACAATTGAAACATCTAACTACGATCAGACTATACGATTTTTTGTCGTTATTTGGCTAGTTGAAATTTCTAATTTCTAGAGAAGAATTTTTCACTTTCGTAGAAAAAATAGTATGAAACACGCATGCCGAAACGGTCATTGAAAAACTCGTATAATAGGAACACTCGCTGGCGCTCGTGTTCCTACATTTATACTCGTTTTTCAATAATACCGTTTCTGCACTTGTATTTCAATGTACTATTGCAACACTTGAGAATACTGTTACCACTTTTCACAACTTAGAATTTAATACTTGTGACATTTCGTCATCAATTTGCGATAAAACATCGTCTTTCCTAGTTTCATTTGCTTTAATTCGCTGCAGAAATTCCTGAGGTACGAGTAACATTTTCTTTGCGTGTTCCATGATTATTGAAAAAGACTTCCAAGTAAGCCACCAAGTAACGGACCTAGCACAAATGGCAAGAATGCTCCTCCGTTTTGAATTAGTATCTGTTTCTTCTTTTTTATCTGTTCACGGGGCGTTACCATACGCCGTAAGATGGTTTTATGACGAGCGAGACTTCGGTTCTGATCAGCGGTCAAATCGACTTGTCCTTTTAAAGTGTTGTAAATACACTCACATATGCATTGAATTTGATTGTCGTCCAAACATTTTATCAACGCAAGCCGTTCCTTTGGTCCCAATTTTGAGAGAGCACGCAGCAACTCGGAATGTTTCGTCAATTTTGAAACCATTATGAATGTACCAATTGCTCAAGATTCAAACCTTTAATACCCTTTTTCGGTATATATACTACACAGGCGCCATCTTCTTCAAATATCGATGTTCTATAGCGGAAAACATCCGGTGTACTTTGTTTTAAATCGAATAACAGGTATCCGTGGGGTTTAGACGTTGCATCATTATATGCTTCTTCTAAAAATTTGGAGTTTTCAGGGCAAATTTGCCGCGTTAAATGCTTTATTTGTGCCCGATCTCGGGGATTTTTGAATAAAATAATGTAGTGTGCATTTAAAGATCTCTGTCCTTTTCCTTGATGAAATATGTTTTGGGTTAGAAAGAAAACACTTGACATCCTTTTGTAAAAATGTCAACAATACCACCATTTGATTCGCGCATTAAATCATCAATAATTATCAGCACAGGTTTTAAGCCGTCGAAACTGGACATATCGGGCAAGCCTTGATGGAATTCAACACCTTTTAGATCTTTGTACAATGACTGCCATTCCCCTTAATGCCAGACTATTTTTTCAAACACTACAGAGCAGATGTTTGTTATATTTTTTAGAAAGTTTACAATAAAATAACTCTTTCCCGATCCACTGGGGCCACTTACAAGAGCGGAAAATGGATGAAGAAATTTATTTTCCATTTTAATGCCTCGAAGTATAACACCAAACTGATTAAAAGAATGTAGAACTTACATTTATATTTATTTACATTTATTTGTACAAGAATCTATCATCATAAGTTTGCATATAATCCTCTATCTTATCAATCACAAAATACGGATACTTATGGACTAACTCATGTATAACTAAAGGTTCAGTAGTTAAATTTGTTAGCAAATCGTTTAAACCCGTTTTTAAAATCAACATCTGTGCCGCGGAATTTGGACTGTGTTATCAAACCATACTGAGTTTCTAGTTTACTAAAAGCCGACGCTTGACCGGGGTTAACAACGGATAATTTAGTTAAAACATTCTCCCCGCTAGTAATAGCTTCATTAATCCGTTCTCGTTGAGTACTTTGGTTAATAAAATCTGCAAGCTGTGTCCTAAGGGCGTCTCCACTTTCACGTAACTCGAGGGCGGGGGTAACATTCGGGATTAAGTTAATTCCTTTATCCAAGGATAAGTTATCATCTAGAGTCTTGTCTTTCACTTTTCTTGTTGCGTTTGGTGGTTGTTCGTTGGTTGGTACTGGCTCTCCCTCATCTGATCTTTGTGGTTTATGGCCATACATCTTCAATTTTGTCCTGTCCTCATTACTTAGTTCGTAAACCAAATTTGAAAGTTTACTTTTCACGGTATTTACCACATACTTGGGCGCTAATTTGCTAGAAAAATGTTTACTGGCATCAGAAAGAACTTTATTCCTGCGCCATACCTTGTCACCAACATTGAACGAAATAGGTCGTTTACGTAAGTTATAATAATTGGCATTTTTACGGTAGGCCATCTGAAGTTTATCTGCTACGTTTTCAAAAACATCCTTTAAACCTGCACTTATATCGTTACTATAATCATTACGGTCAGCCGGATTGAGTGTTAAATCTGCAGTACTTTGTATTTTTCCATAATAGTCTCCACTAGGGCAAACTACCTTCCCAAAATTTAGAAAACTTGGAGTGAACCCCGTTATCATCCACAATTTGGGGGTTAATACCCCCCCCCCCCCCCCAATGCGACATCTGATGCATCACACTGGATGGTGAAAGGTAACAAAAAATCAGGTTTCTCAGTACCGGGGTGGAGACTAACGCTTCCTTAATCTTAATAAATGCATCCTCCGCAGAAGAAGACCATTCCACGCACTGTTTTCTCTTTTGCTTTTAAAAGATACTGATTGGGAGAAATTAGGGTCGAAAATTTATCTATAAAACGTCTATACCAGGAGCATAATCCTATGAATCTCTTAACTTCAGTGACAGTCGTAGGTCGAGGATAATTGACCATTGTTGATATTTTTTCAGGTCTGTTTTTAACCCGTCATCCTCGCCATCAATTACAAATCCCAATATTTTAATGACTTTTTAAAAAACTCGCACTTTGATAAATTGATCGTTATATTGCATCCGCAACCGACGATGAACTTCTTGAAGTAATTCGACATGTTGTTGAAATGTCGACGAAACTATGATTATATCATCTAAGTAAACAAAGATGTACGGTTCAAATAAGGGACCAATTATTGCGTCCATTAGACGTTGTTGGGTTTGCGCGGCGTTGCATAACCCAAAAGGTAGCACACAAAATTGGAAGAGCCCGCGACCGGGTACTGAAAAACTGGTTTTTCCTTCGAAGAACTATCTAAGGGAATCTGCCAAAAGCTATTCCGCAAATCAATGGATGAGATATATCGTGCTCCTTTTAACATATTTAAGATCCGGTCGACCTAGGTAAGGGATAACTATGCGTACCAACACGCCCATGTTTATGGGAGTCTTATATTAAATTAATAACTCATAGTTTGGGAAAATCACAATAGAGAATAAAATCACATCGGGAAAATTCTAAAATCCTGCCGTGCATTTTGATCTCACTTATAAACGTGTAGTTCGTCTCACCCCAAACGCATTACTTAAAACACCAACAAACAATAATGAGACAATCTTGACATACTAATCTACAACTTATCTATCCTAACCCTAACTCTTAATTACCTACCTTTAAATTACCCTACAGACATATCAGAGTTCGAACCTAGATAGACCTTGAGATCCTTGACGTGCCAATTACCGCATTATCAATTTTCTTACATAAAGATAAACAATTCGGGAATATTGTTAATTTGTACAAGTGCTAATTGAGTAATGTAACAGGCAATAAGTTTCTCCTAATGTATTTGAGTTTTTGTGGACTCAGCAACAAAATGGCCGACACGACTAAACAAATTTTCCATTGCGGCTACGAACATGTGAGCGTGTTCAGATTTAAGCTGACATCGTTCCCTGATCTCTTGCCAAACGTCTTCTACATAGTCGCATGGCAAAAACTCTGCTTTCAATTTCACTACTAATTCGTCCCTAACCGATCTGTTGGATTGATTTTCATAAATTTGACAAGTTTATTTATTTACATTTGATTTTGTTTGTTAGCTTAGGCTTGGATAAACGAAGTGAAAATTGTACACGTACCTTAAGTGTAAATGAGCCCCACGTTGGGCGCCAGCTTGTATCGCCTGATCTGAGCGAATTACTTGGTGCCGCTGGTTACTGCTCAGTTTTGTTTTACGCTGGGTCGTGGGTTTCTAATGACTCTTTATTTTTTTTTTTTTTACATTGAAATGGGCGCCAATCTGCCTTGACGTTACTCGCCGACCGACAGATTGAATCGGACGAGGACAAATATGAATACAATATAAATTGAAGTAGTATTTAATTTGACTATTGTTGTAATTTGCGGAGGTACCTCTACTCTAGTAACGACTATCACAATTCTATTAATTATTCTTAATTTAACTTATATAAATACGTAGACAAAATGGACGTTTGGAATGAGATTAGATTGAGCGTTTATGAGAGAATGCGTGTGAATGATAATGATAATGGTGATTATCCTTAGCTGTTTATTCGAGTGGGAACCAGGTGCACAGAGGTCGAATGGCCGAATGGCGATAGCAAAATGGCGTGCTTCCGTGATTGCCAATCAATGGTCCAATCCCAATGGCAGCTACCGATTCTTCAAGATCAGAAATATCGCTTGACCATTAATCGTAAATCGGAGACCAGAAATTAGATATCAGGGATCAAAGATCATAGAGCCCTAAATGGAACTGCGTCTTAAGAGTATGAATACATTTATAATTAAACTTACTTCAGGTATTAAACGGCTCAAGATTTAAATTGGCTGCTAAATATGCACAATACCAATTGCATTGATTTGACAGATAAATGCGGTCCAGAATCTATTTCGCAACAAAGCCTTGCACGAATCGGCAATTATCCTAAAAACGGAATTGTTTTTGACTTATCTCAAATTAAGGAACACTTACGTAATGTAGTCCGTAGTACTGAATTAGTTCGCTCTTAAGTAAAACTCTAACAATTATTCGACTTTTCGATTGTGCTATCTAAGACTGTCTACCTAGAAAATGCCAAACCCGCTCCCACTATCGCCTAACTCATAAAACTCGTTCACCGCCAAATTTAATTTATATTTGAAGTTTAAACTCTAATCTTGAAACGTTACAGTGTATGGGAAAATTTAGATGTGTGGTAACGTAGATGAGAATTAAAAGGGGATATGATCTTAGCTGTCGAACCCTCATTTAAAAAAAAAAATAAAATAAAATTAATTGGTCCGCGGATTAAATTAATCAAATCCACAAATTAAATTAATTAGAGGAAATTTCGAGAAATCAAACCGCTAATTAAATTGATTAAGCCGCGAATCAAATTAAAAAACAGAAATTCCGGGAAATCAACACGCGAATTAAATTAATTAGATCAATCAAACCGCAAATTAAATTAATCCACAGTAATCAATTTAATTGATGACGTCATCAATCAAATCAAATGCCAATAAAGACCAAAATCGTACAAAATTTTAATTAATTAAGCCCAAATTCCAAGAAATTAATCAAATTTCCCCGAAAACATCCCCGCCCACGTGAGCGACCCCGCGGATCAATTTAATTGACCTTGATTGACCCGCGAATAAAATCCAAAATGGCGCCGAAAGTGACCCGCTTCTACTATCATGTCTTCATACTTTACGCCCGTGAATAGGTTTTTTAATGCTTCTTCCATCTTTTCTTAGTACTGTATAGCCGAGACATTGCAAAAACTGTACGTCGTCTTCGGTTAATGCGCCGTTAGCAATTGTTGCGTCGATGGATGACTAAATGAAGAACCTTGCTTACAGAAAATTTTAAGTCCCATATTTTTTCAGCTCCAATCGAATAGTTACTCTTTCTTCGCCGAAATCCACTAAATGACCGTCTTGATCGACTAACCTCAAGGTTATGTTATCTATTTGATGCGTGAGTACCGGTAAATATATAATCGTAGCCGGCTCCTTGATTAACTTATAGCCCGGCTCAACGTGTACGTCAAATTCAAAGATTGTATGAGATAGCGCACTGTTTCTGTATGCTCCACCCGTTAAATTACACTCGACGTGTATATTAGTAGCGTTGATTATTTGCACGTCCGGATCAGATTCATGGGTTCTACCTCCTTTATACAATTTAGGAGAGAAACCGAGCATGCGACCGATGGAGTTCGATTTCCTAAAGTCAATATCGTGTATGGTTTTCATTTCGCATTTTAGCGTATTATTATTAGGTCTCAACATAAAGTCCATCGAATTGGTTGGTTCGTTTATATGATGCTGTAGAATCCTGTTGATCTCTTCAATTTCATACGCGCCACTCGGAATGGTAATCTCTTTGAAGATGCTATCGGCCGCTGCATAGTAAAATTTGTTGTTTCCCTCAAATATATTGCGTATAGAATTACAGCCGTAAAAGCCAACCAACCCTAATCCATATTGATAATTGCGGTCTAGTTCGATCGGCGGAAAATATGAGGTGCTGAGGACGTTGCCGGCACCTGTTAAGGTGAACGTTTGAGACATATGACTGATGAAGTAAACAAACTCTAGGTTCAATTATTTATTATACAGAAAATTTAAACATAAATTTCCACATATCAGCGTATTATAATTTTGCTCCCTAGTATAATTGTATATGATGTTGCATCCGGATAAATATTTAACTATTTCTATTAGTGGCGTCAAGTCGCCGAAGGTATCATAGTAAACTGCCTTCATGCCGCGTTTCTTGAAAGCAACCCAATGCGTACCTCTTCCTTTAGCATCATCCAGGTTTACGATAGCGCACTCGTTTAAATGAGGTTTTCGCGGTAATGTATCACGCATAAACACTCCTCTGAAGAAGGGTACGTCTTTAGCATACTTTACAAGATCCGAGTCCGTTAATGCTTTTCGCGGCAAATTTAAAAGTTTTTTGTCGGATATGGTTTTAAATACAAGGCGTATCCCGTCTTACGCGGTTGAAGATACAGCGAACTGCCTTGTTTGCCCAACTTATTTTTCCCGCGCTTTGCCAAGCTTCCTTTTGGCCTTCATTGCTCCAGCTACGGCTAATGCTGCTGCTTTCTCTCCAAAACTAGCGTCCTTTGCCTTTACACGATCCCAAGCTCGAATTTCAAGTTCTTTATCGGCCCGATGAAGATTCTCAACGTCTTTAAATGGATTGTATGCGATGTCGTGTTGCTTGCATGCAGCGTCCAACTGATTTATTCCTTGATCACCCCGAGCTAGACGCTGCTGTAGTTTGGTTCCCGGTCCGCAGTATTGATATCCGGGGATATGAAGTTCCACCGCCAATTTGTTTATCAAGCTGTTTATAAACCCCTTTCCTACTCGGCGATCGGCCATGAACTGATCAGTATAACTCAAACTGTCGAGTAATAATGAAGTTTATGAAGCAACCTCAGCAATTGCATGTTGAGGATCATGATTTGTATACTGAATCGGAAGTGTCGGGGAAACACGGCTCTTTATTTCCGGCTTCAATTAGAGCGGTTATCTGTGGACCATCGGGATCCGGAAAAACGAATGCGATGATAAGTTTATTGGAAGCAGCGAATGGCCTGAAGTTTGAAAACGACTCCAAGTCATTAGAGCAGCCAAAGTATAAATATCTGGAAGAAGTACTTTGTTATATATATGTGTACGTAGACGGAACGGGAGACACAGAAGAAATGACATGTACATTTTAGGTTATGCTTTTTTACTTACTATGAAATATATTAAGTGTACAAACGAATACTGGTATTCTGAATTATTCGACTTGAAGACTACGTGCCGAACATAACAAAGTGGCGACGAGGATAGTTTAAAACGTACCTTTTTACATTTACATGAAAAGCTTACATCAAGGTTTACATACATCATGTACCTACCTATTGGCGTTTAATTAGGTAAAAAGAGCCTGGTTTTGCTTCCTGGGAGACCTTATTTCCTTGTATTCAGGGGCCTGAAATCCTAAAAGCCTTGATAGCCCTCTTGGCGAATCCTTTATCCTTTAATTAATTTAATTGAATAGGTAGGAAAATCGTACGAGGTTAAGGCATTCATTACGAAAATGGAACAGTTAATACAAAATCTAACTTCAGTGGTACAAAAGATGCAAGAAACCCAATTACAAATACTGAATCAAGCAAATCCGCAACAATCACATTTTACGAAACCAGATCTACACGGTGTACATTTGCAACCATTCGATGAAAACAACGAGTCGTTTAATACATACATCCAAAGACTCGAAAACCATTTAAGTTTACGTGGCATTACGGATGAAACTCCAGAAGCTGATAGAAAAAAAGTACAAATTTTTCTAAATTATTTAGGGCCAAAGATGTACCAAACGCTCTCAAACATTACGTCACCTGACTCGCCCAGCTCTAAAACATATAAGGAGGTTGTACAGTTGTTGAAGATGCACATATGTCCACCACCAAGTGAAATTGCAGAACAGCATCGGTTTTCCTTACGGGTACAGCACGAGGGTGAATCAATAGCAAATTTTGTTGCCGAATTAAAACGTTTAACTACAAACTGTAATTTTAAGTGCATTGAGTGTGATAAACCTACAATAAACACTCACCTCAGATCACAATTTATAAAAGGTATTCGCGACAACGACATACGGGAACGGTTGTTACAGCAAACTGCTCCCACGTTTACATTTGATAAAGCTGTTGAATTAGCATTGTCCATAGAAATGTCGAAATGTGAAAGTAAACAGCTGCAAAGCAACTCGAGTCAAATAAATCTTGTTAGTAAAATTAATGAAAATAGCAAACCTTCGACTTCAAAAAAGAAGTTTGAAAGGAAAAATTACAATACCACAAAGCCTTGTGGAATAGCCTCTTTATTTGGGAAGTGTTTTAGATGTGGTAATCAAAACCACAATGCCAATGATTGTTTTGCTAAATTGAAAACTTGTACAAAATGTGGAACCAAAGGCCATTTGGCAAATGTTTGTTTAAAATCCGCGAATAATGCAAAATTACCAAACAAAACTTCAACTACACGGAAACAACATCAAGTTGATGTTGATTCAAATTCAGACGATGGTGCCGATATTTATACAATTCATGCATTAAATATTTACAAGACAAACGACATTAACAACGATAAAATTTTGCTAAAAGTAAATATCGACAATACACCAACCAACATGGAGCTCGATACAGGAGCCGCCATCACTTCCATGTCATTACGACAATTTACAAAAATATGTCCAAATAAAAAGTTATTGCCAACATCAATTAAATTACGTACGTACACTGGGGAAATCATTAAGCCGGTTGGGGTTGCAAATGTTCAAGTCACTTACGAACACCAAGTACAAAATGGTGATGTCTACATTATCGATCAGGATGTTGATGCAATCTTTGGGAGAGATTGGTTAAAGAAAATTAAGCTGAACTGGCCGGATATCAAGAATGTTTCCTGTTACAATACAAGTGAGAAACTGAACACTCTGCTTGATAATTACAAAGACTTATTTGTGGACGAAATTGGGAAAATTCCTGACTACAAATGTTCCATAAAATTAAATGATGAATCAGTTTCACCAATTTTTATGAAGGCACGACCAGTACCATACGCATTAAAAACTCGTGTCGAAGAAGAAATTCTACGACTCGAAAAAGCAGACATTATCGAAAAAGTGGTACATTCAAACTGGGGTTCTGCGGTAGTTCCAGTAATTAAGAAAAATGGGAAACTACGCCTATGTGCTGACTACAAAGGCACAATAAATAAGCACATTCGAAATGACAAGTACCCTATACCCAGAATACAAGATATTTTTGCCAGTATGGAAGGAGGTAAATATTTTTGCTCGCTGGACATTAGTCAAGCTTACCTTCATATGGAAGTCGATGAAGAAACTGCAATGTTACAAGCAATTTCAACACATTTGGGTACCTACAAGGTAAAACGCCTTATGTTTGGAGTAAAAATAGCGCCAAACTGTTGGCAACGTTTTATGGACCAATTACTAAGTGGATTAGACGGAGTTACTTGCTTTATCGATGATATTAAAGTCCAAGGCTCGACCTACCAAGAAACAATCCACAGGTTGAAGCTAACCC